TCGCTGTGAAGCGGGAGCCGGCAGAGGATTCCGCTTGGTCTTAAAGCCTTCCTCAAACGGCTACTTCACAAATAAAACAATGATTTGCGCAAAAAGAATGATTAATTATCAATTGAGAATTTGTTATTGATATGGTCTGGTGAAAATAATAATATGGGCTGCGAGAAAATTATAAATAAAAAGAATGGGGCTGCTATGAGTGCAGGCAGTCTAGGGACAGCATCACTGATCTATATATAATATCTATTATAGATCAGTGGACAGCATCCATATTTCAACCCCAGTGGCATGACACCACCGCGGCCCTCGCAGCCAAAAAAACAGACTGGCCCACCGGGAATCCTCCCGGTGCTCCCGATTAGCCAATCCGGGCCTGCAAACACACACACTCGCACGTACACACACACACACACACACAGAAGCACAAACATATCTGAAGTGTATCCTGTATTTGATCAATGCATTGAAAATCTTAAAGGAATCATTCAGTCAACAATGAAAATCATTTACTCACCCTAGCATCTTTCTGAGCCTGCATGACTTCCTTTCTTCTGTGGAGTACTAATGTATATTTTGAAGACTTACAGTTTTATTAGTGAGCATGGGTGTTCAGCTCCAGAATGAAGAACATGAAGCCTTTTAATTTTGGGTGAACTATTCCTTTAAGAGAGTTTATTATCTAGAAAAGAAAATGACAACCCTTCAGTGTGGGGTTTAAGAAAATAGTTTGTGTACATTCATAAATGTGTAATATTCAGTATACAGCACTGAATCATTCACGGGCAGCACGTCCTGCTGTTCTCTGTGAACACAGATATTTATCTTACAGAAATCTGGTGGGCAGGACATTTATGAAAATGAGTTTGATCTTGATCAAATCTCATCGCGATCAGGACAGGGTATGTACACAACACACACATACACATGCACTCACGCACACACACACACACACACACCACACACACACACACACACACACACACACACACACACACACACACATACACACACACACAACACACACACACATCAGCTGTATATCCTTGTGGGGATTTTGTAATGGCCGTACCTTAACCCTAGAATTCATACATTATTTACTCTAAAAGTATGAAATGTTTTTCATTTGTGAGGAATCCCAATGTTTTGTCACGGTTTGAAGAAATTCATCCCCATAAGTTGGCCATTGCTGGTGATATGCATTCTTTTGATTTGTCTCTTTTCTTTTTCCAGTGAGATTCTTTTCTGAAGATGACAGGACTCCTTTGCAGAGCAATTTCTAAGTGGAAACAGATAAATGTTTAAGAAATTACGCTCTTTTTGCCAAGAAGAGGAAGAATCTCTCTTACACTTATTCAGTTTCTGTACTTATAATAAACAACTCTGGCTTCAAATTTCAGCATCTTTACTTTACTTCTTGTATTCTTTCGTCTATGAAACATTTCTGTTGTTAAGGTTCTCTTTCATTCTGTTGTTTCTAACAATAGGGAGCTAGAGGATACTCTGGACTTTATTTGTATGCTGGGAAAATTACACATTCACAAAGCACGATGCCTTAACTTTAAACCTAGTTGTAAAATATTCACATCTGATTTACTTTTACTTCACTCTTCACTTCAAAGAATCTCCTCCAATAAAAAAAAGCTTTAAAAACATCCAATCTTATAGAAAATTTCATCAATAAGTTGTCATTTTTTATGATTGTAAAATGATTGTATGATTGAATGACTGTATGATTATATATTTTTTATTTTACTTCATTTTATTTTATTATTATTATTACTTATTTAATTATATTCTATTTTTTGCTGTATCCCCCACTTGTTCTTGTGTTTGTGCATTTTTATTTTTCTATTATTATTATTTTTTGCATTTTTTGTCTACATAGAACTTCATCCGACGCTGCGTGTTCAGCTTATAATATCCATCTAATACAGACTTGTCCAGGGGGAGATTCTAGGCTAAAGCCCCCCTAAAAATGGCCTAGCGACACCCATGGACTTGTCAGTGTTGCCAATTTGGGATTAAGTGGAAGCTAACTTCATATTGTATTTTTTGTTTAATGCATATTTTCCCACCAAAATAGATACCCAAATTGGTGAGGGACGTGAGAGAGATATAAAATGCATTTTGTGTAGTTCATGGTTATTAATGTAGTGAATAGGCTATTTTAACTATGAACCTCTTGTGTGTTGTCAACATGGGAAGCAGTTTTCATCTGACTGCGGAGTACACATTAAAAGAGTTTATTTTATATTTCTTTATGTTAATCTCATACAACTGGTAAGGTATGGCTACTGTATCCCACTATCGATGAAGTATGAGGTAGGTGGATAGTACTAATAATGACTTTATGACTTTTTGAGCCGCCCAAGCGATTCAGTTGAATGAGTGAGTCATTTATGCGGAAACGGCTCCGATCGATTCAAACGCAAAGACGATTCTGACCGGCTGATGAGATAAGAAACGATTCAAAAAGTAAATTTTCCCAAATGGAAACCACTTGTTTTGACCGCCTGACATTATATACAAACATGCCTGAAACTGCTGAAACATAACCCCACTACTCCATCAATAAAATAATATAGTCTTTACTGAAAAGCTGCATGAACCTTTTCGAAAGATTCGAAAACAGCTTTTAAAACCCATTGCAAATGTTTTATTGAAAATATAATATGTTCATTAAATGCAATTAACAAATCATCAAATTAGCACATCATTAAATATGACGTGTCCGTCTAATATGTGTTCTTTTATTAATTTGCATTGCTTGTTTGGTTTGTTTTATAGCGGACTTGTGAAATCACGTGGCGGTTTGATACGAGCTCCGAACCGATGATTCGAAACAAATGATTCGCAAAGGTTTCGAAGCTTCACGAAGCATTGCTTCAAAATCAGCCATCACTAGAAAATAGCTTCGCTACTTTTCGACGCTACTACCCTTTTTTGTTAGTTTGATAAGCAGGCGATGCTTATTTTCCGAGAATGACACGCTTGACTGTATATTATCCCTGATTTTTGATCTCCAGAGCGACAGATGGCGGTAGAGAGTTGATGTGTTGATCACTGCCTTCAGAGCAGAGACAGAGTGAGACACAAACACAAACAAATGACATTCAGCGGAATCAAACCGCAGCAGCGCTGACATTTGTGTGGCTCTATAGCTTCAAGGTAAGCGATGCTTTTTCAGCCTCACGAGCTTGATCGCAAACTCACAAGTAATCAAAATGTAAGTTTCCAAACGCAAACTCATTGAAAATATAGTTTCCTTATGTATGCCGGTAGTTTGACAACGTGTACAGTTGAATAAAGTTGCTACAGTCAGCTGAACATAGACTGGGTTGACACGGACAAACTGATATACAGTTTGTACAGTATAAAAACCATTACGCCTTTGGAGAGTCCCTACAAGGATAGTGAACCAGGTGTGTGTGTGTGTGTCTGTGTGTGTGTGTGTGTGTGTGTGTGTCATACAGAAACAGTGCCGAGTGGTTTGCACACAAATTATAGTCTGTTACTGAATACAAATTACATGATGAAAATTGTAGTGAGTAATGTAATCTAGATTATTCATTTTATATACTGTATTCTGACTACTTTTGTATTACTTATATATATATATATATATATGCGCTTACTGACTCCTGATCATCTATAGTTGCTGGTATCAGGTTGGAGTTGGTTTGTGCTTCTCATGGGTGCATCTGTGTGCCGGCACGGCCGCTCGCTCCTGTCCCGTCACAGCAGGGCCGGTCACAAGGGCTCTCTGATGGGTGGGGATGACTCTCTAGACGGTCTGGACAGACAGCAGGACATCGCCCAGTTCCCATATGTGGAGTTCACAGGCCAAGACAGCATCACCTGTCCTACCTGCCAGGGGTCCGGACGCATCCCATCAGGTGTGGATGTGAAAAAACACACATCTTACATTTGAGTGTTAAAGTAAGGATTTCGCTAAAACATGTCCAAGTCACATTTCAGCTTGAAAACCAGACGAAAAAAAAGTTTCATGCACAAAGTCAATGATCCCAGTATTAGAATCTCTTTTATTGGACTCACTAAATATTATAAAACCTTTTACTCAGTGACAGTTGAGCTTTCCCCCCACAAATTCTCATTATTTTAATGCATCTGCACATTTTATTATTATAATATTTACGTTGTTTTTTCCCTTTAATGTCAAAGGTAATTCTTGATAAATTCTCATTGCTGAAGAACTAGGTACCTTGCTTTAGTGAAGGGACATCCAAACATGAAAGTTTTTCTTTCATTTGCATTTAAATTCTGAAAGACTTTTACACAATGATCACATCCGTTATAGGGTGTTGTGTAAAAGACCAGATAATCTATGTTGTTGCTTGAGGTCATGAGGTTGTGACTCTACATGTTATCTGAACCTCTGATCAAGTTTTCTCTCTCTCTCTCTTTCAGGACAGTTGAATGAGTTAGTTGCTCTGATCCCCTACAGCGATCAAAGGTTACAGCCACGGAGAACGTAAGTTATCACACACGGATCACAGTTATGAATCTGAGTTTCTTTCTTCTGTTGAACACAAAAGAAGATATTCTGAAACCGAACAGTTGATAAACACCATTGACTTCCACAGTATGGAACCGAGGTCGTCCCATAGTGGATTTTACCGATAGCTACTGAACCATAATCTGTAAATAAATAAAATATTAATATTAGTTATGTAGTGACCATTAAAGTTAGTTCATAGTTCATTAACTAATGTTAACAGAAGCAACTTTGAAATTGAAAAATGTAATAGTAAATGTGGAAATTAACACACTCTAACAAGGAACAATATTTCTACAGCTTTTATAAACCTTAGTTAATGTTACAAATGGACTCTGATTGTAAAGTGTTACCATTTCATTTCAACAGTCATTCTTTAAGATGGTCATCTTTAAAGGGGTCATATGATGCGATTTCAATTGTTCCTTTCTCTTTGGAGTGTTACAAGCTCTTGGTGCATAAAGAAGATCTGTAAAGTTGCAAAGACTAAAGTCTCAAATCCAAAGAGATATTCTTTATAAAAGTTAAGAGTTAACCACACCTACCTAAAACGCCTCGTTCTAACACGCCCCAACATATCTACGTCACTGTGTGAGAAGATTTGCATAACGCCGCCCAAAGGTTCACGCAAAGAAAGAAGGCGTAACCGCCTCTTAAAAAAACTAATAAAATGACAACATGACTACAACTGTAACTAAAACTAAAATAGATAACTAATACAAATCAAACTACATTAGTTTATCAGTAATCCTAAAAAAATAACAACAACACACATGCTAAAATAACAACAACTTACTGACACATAGTAAGAAATGGTTATAAAAAAAACTGAAACAAGTAGTAGTTTTTGAACCTTAAACCGCATAAACATTTCATTACACCAAATACACAAAATAATGTTCTTTTTAGCAACATCATATGACCCCTTTAAATATCTACACAAAGGCCATTGCATTGAAATTACATGCTGTACATATGGATATTGTATGTATACTCTCGCAAAAGTGCAGCGCTGCATCTAGGAGAACTCGCAGATATCGACCGGACACGTCGCGTTGACGGTCTAAAACAGTTTATTTAATCACCAAACGGGCAAAAGTTCACTTCAAGAATGAACAAAGTGGCGTAGATGAGTTTGAAGTTCGGTGTTCAAAAAAAAACAAAAACAGAGCAAACGGAAAGAGCAAGCTCAATCTATATTATAGCTCTCTAATTGAAGCATGCTTTATCAGAGCCACAGAAAGACAAATGTTTTGCTGAAAAAGCACAATACACAATTTTACAGCCTAGGGTGAAGTGAATTCATTATGTACATTAACAATGATCTGGAACAAATTTAATGTAAAACTGTGTGACGCGGCAGGATTTCTGTCGGCTGAATGAACACATTAATGTGCTTTCCGATCAATCGGTCGACCTCTATGGAAACAAAATACTATGTAAGTCAGTGGGGAGCAGAAACTGTTTTGTTACCAACATTATTCAAAACATTGTGTGTGTGTGTGTGTGTGTTCAGCAGAAGAAAGAAACTCAGGTTTGCAATAACTTGAGGGTGAGTAAATGATGACAATTAAATGTTACATTTTTGGTTGAACTATCTCTCACTAAAAAATGTCTTAACAGACAGAAATAGATTCATGATTTTGCATTTCTTCTCTTGGCAGGAAGTCGTATGTGGTGCTGTCAGTGATTTTGTGTCTGCTGGCATCTGTTTTGGTGGCTTTCTTCCTGTTTCCACGTCCTGTGCTGGTCGTTGATGATGGCATTCGCTCTGTGACTGTGCACTTTGACCGTAACAACAGCAAAGTGCTCATCAACATGACGGTAACTTCTTTTAAATCTCTTTTTTATGATGGGTTAAATGATATGAAGAAATTAAATAAATTGTGTTTAAATTGTGTTGAGGCATTTATTCTAAAAAGTTGTTTAGAAACGACATGCAATCAAAATTGTCCCTGCTCAGCAAATTGTATTCATATTCCTTCAAAGTCGAAATGTGAAAGCTTATACTTGTAATATTCTCAATGCAGCTCCAGTCTAGAATAGTTAAATTGGACATCAAAACACTGTATGTACAATAAAAAAAAAAGCTCTTCCAGTCAGACCTGTAATTTAAAGAGAAACTAATTTTGGCTTATAACTGTACTCTGAATACTGTGTGTGTGTGTGTGTGTGTGTGTTTTAAACAGAGCTCCTTGAACTTCACCAACTCTAATTTTTTCACGGTGTGGGTGGACACCGTGAGCTGCCAGGTGCTCTACATGAAGACAGTCATCGGATCTCAACAGCTAGACAACATCATCCACATTCAACCTCTCAGCCAGAGACAGGTGTGATGAGCGGCCCAACATCCATTTTCTAATGTACACTACTGTTCAAAAGGTTATGGTCATTCAGATTTTGAAAGAAATCTCTTATGGTCACCAAGGCTGCATTTATTTGATCAAAAATACAGTAAAATATTGTAAATTATTATGAATTATTAATATTGTAAATTATTATTTAATGTTTTTTGTTTCTATTTGAATATGATGTGCTGCTTAATATTTTTCTCGAAGCTGGTAGTTTTTTTTTTTTTTTTTTAAGGATTCTTTGAATAGAAATGATAAAGAAATAGTTTACCCAAAAATTTTCAGAAAATTTACTCCGGCCTCAGGCCATTCAAGATGATTTGTTTCTTCATCAGAACAGATTTGGAGACATGTATCAGTGTCTCAGCAATGGATGCTCTGCAGTGAATGGGTGCCGTCAGAATGAGAGTCCGAACAGCTGATAAAAACATCACAATAATCCACACCACTCCAGTCCATCAGTTAATGTCTTGTGAAGTGAAAAGCTTTCTTTGTAAGAAACAAATCCATCATTAAGATGTTTTCACTTTTAACCATCACTTCCAGCTAAAATATGAGTCCATAACCTATAATAATGCTTCCTCCAGTGAAAGAGTCATCTTGTCTGAATCAGGAGAGAAATACACACAGATCAAGCAGCGTTTACAAGCCAAAACAGTCTGAAACAGTTCTAAACAAATATGTGAGTGGATTTTGATGCGAGAAAACAACAGGGGATGGACTATTTCACTAGTGGAAGCGTTATTATGGATTGTGGATTACTTTAGCCATAAGCAATGGTTTAAAGCATTGAATTTGTTACTTACAAACACACAGCTTTTCACTTCACAAGACATTAACTGATGGACTGGAGTGGTGTGGATTACTTGTGGATTATTGAGATGTTTTTATCAGCTGTTTGGACTCTCATTCTGACGGCACCCATTCACTGCAGAGCATCCATTGCTGAGCAAGTGATGTAACACTACATTTCTCCAAATCTGTTCCCATAAAGAAACAAACTAATTTACATCTTGGACAACCTGAGGATGAGTAAATGTCATCTTTACATTTCAAAAGAACATCATTTATTTGGAATAGACATCTTTTGTGACATTATAAATATCTGTACTGTCACTTCTGATCAATTTGTGGGAGAAAAGACACAGATTGTTGAGTACTAGACAGTAGTTGTGCTGTTGCAGAGTATGTAACATGTTTTTTTTTAATGCAGGTCAACTTCACTGTCAGCATGGAGATTGGAGGAAGTCTCTCTTACGTTTAGTGAGTATCAAATCAGTTCTCTTTGGATGAACGAGTTGATCTCATGAATCTGTGTGTCTGATCTTCTGTTTTTGAACTGTTTTCTCAGTGCCTTCTGCACCATGGCAAGCATCAAGGTCCACAACATTGTGGTGTTCATGCAGTAAGTTTCTCATCACTACATTTTCTCATCCTTTTTGTCTTTTGCTGTTTTCCTACATTTGAAAATTGGAGGTGAAGTGAAGCATAAAGGTGTGGTCACATTTGCGCAAGTTCACAGGTGAAAAAGGTCAATGCCACTGATTTTTATGACCAACTTGAACACAAAAGCTACAAGGGGAAATCTTTCACCCTCACACACAGCTACAGATCGCATGGATTACTCCGGAAATGACAGGATTTTGCCTGTGAAATTTTGTCAAGCCACAGTAAATGTGGTCCTTAAGAACCATTTTCTCATTTGTGCTTTTTGCTTTGTCTGAGTATATGTAGGGTTTTCCTCTAGATTCTTATGAAATAGTCCTGACCGCTTCTCCTATACACCCCAGGACCTCTGTGAAAACCTCCTACATGGTGCGGGCGGCACAGAACACTCTGGAGGCTTACCGCTACATCGACTGTGGCGCCAACTCCACCACCCACCAGCCCTCAGGAATGGTGTGGTCTAAACCTCAGATTGGGAAACTGCTCAGGTGAAGCATCAGCCGGCGGACGGCAGCTCGGTTTCATCAATTTTGACTCCAAATGTTGTGCTACACTGAAACTGAAGCCACTGAACAGAGCAGCTATGATGTAAGATATTGCTTGTATTGATCCCTCAGTGCAGATATTTATGGAGTAATCAACCAGACTCACTGTTTCGAGAGCTTCTCACTTGCTGTAGTATTAGTCTAAAATCTAAAAAGGGTGTTATATAGTTTTGCAGAGATTGATTTGAATTATTGACGGGATTGTCAATGATGTGGTGCACTTTAAAATACTGTTTTGATGTATGAGCTGTTCGGTGAAATATTTTATGCATTCCTGATTATGTCTTATGCAAATGTCTCTAATTGTCTCTGCATTGCCAAAGATTTCATGTGTTTACCGGGGAAGTCATTTCTCCGATCGATGGGTTTTAAAGCGACTCAATCAACTCGAATCCATCCATCAGTCACACAGAACAAATTACATACATAGAGCAAAAACAGCACGCAAGTTCTCATAGGGTTTGATTTGTTGTGAAGTGAAAAAAAGGTTTTGTTCAGACTGTATTGTTCAGGGGGGAACTGTTACAAAACAATCAATTAATTGTATCACTTTGCTTCTGTGATGCCATGAAAAGGAATTAGATTGAGGAAATTAGATGTACAATAGCAGGATGTTTTGCTCTCACTCGTACATTAGGGGTTTCATCAAGTTTTACCTAATGTATTAGACAATCGACAACCATAAGAATCAGTTTACTGCTAGTCTCAGGGGAAAAAAAGGTACAAAAACTATTCTTGGGGCGGTACCCTTTTAAAAGGTGCTAATTTAGGTACTAATATGTACAGTTTTGGTGCTAATATGTACCTTTAAAGTACCAATATGCAACTTTACAGGTAAAAGAGGTACAAAAAATACCGGCTCAGTAACAGCTTTTGTACCTTTTTTTTCTGAGAATGTAGATGTTTTAAGAAGAGCATTTGTTTCTACGTGAAGTTGCACATTTGGCTAATTTATTGCTATTTTTATGTCAAATCTCCTTAAAGTGCCTTGAGATTTGATTGTATTTTTCATTGTCTAAACTGAGAAAAATAAGATGATAATAAAAAAAGCTTAATGCCGTTTTTGTTTTGAACAGAGATTGGGAAGAAAAATAAACTTTTTTTTTTTTGTCTGTATGTTAGTATTTTTGTGTAACCATCCTTTTTCCTTTTTTTTCAATTTCCACATGCTAAATGCTTCATTTTGGATATAAACTGTCGGTTTCACTTCAGCAGGACAAAGCTTTGCAAACTGCCTGCTTTTTTTTTTTTTTGTCAACTTTAATGTAATTTAGCCGCATTAAAACCAAAGAACCATCCCTGAAATGCTGCAGCAGCAGAAACCCTCATGAAATCCATTTCACAAAACTGCAGCCACGCTGGAAACTCTTCAGAGACTCTTTGCACGTGGATGGCGTTTAATAATTTATTCAGCACAGGTTATTATAAAGATATTCCACTCATATCTTCTTTCTCACGCTCAAGTCAGGCGTATTATTGCAGATTCATCTGCGTAGCAATTACATCTTGTTTTGGGATAGTTCTGGGCATAACGGCCAAACTATTGGTTGACTCTGGCACGTGTTAAGCTCAGATCCGACTGAAGTATTTAGCTCATTTGTTTTTGGGAATAACAGGCTCATATCAGGAGGCAGGGCTGCTGGAGTCACTCAAGGTATTGTATGATTTTGTTCCTCCATGTCTCGCTTTAGCATCTCCTTTTGCTGTATTATTAGTTCTCATTTCCATCTATGATTGCGTTTTGCATGCAGAATGAGTGAAGCTGTGGTTAGTGGGGTGAGGAGGTTGAGCACTATCTCGGAGCAGGACGGGGACGCTGAAGTGGAGCCCGTGTCCTCAGGGGACAGTGAGTGGGCAGGATCCAGTGCTTCGCTCTGCTCGCGTGGAAAGCCCAGCGCCCAGAGCAGCTCCTTCACCTCCTTTGAGTCCTATCAGCCTGACGCAGCAGGTACAACTTCAGTACTTCTCTGTTTGGATGTTTCTGCTGTGTCCAGTATGTAGAAGTTGTCCTGGCTGCTGAAGGGACAGTGGCCTTAAACCTGTTTTAACTTTAATGTGTGCGTAAAACAATTGAGGTTTAATTGTGAATATGATCTAGACTAAATCAATTAAACACCCATGAAGTATCCATCTGAAGATAAACGGATACAAATAATTCAATAACATTTATAATTAATTAAGGATTTGTAATATTCAATAATAATTACATAATTTAATAAAACTGATAAATAAGACGAATAATATAGTATAATATAGAAATGATTACAAAATTTTTTTTTTTTTTTTACAGATGGGCACCACATATAAGAGCTTTAAATTATTATTCAATTATTATTTCAATTATTCTATTATTAGCACAAATAGACCAATTACATGTATGTATATATAATGCATCACATTTGATCTGCACACTACTGTTCAATAGCCAAACAACCAATCATCAATGTTGTTGTTTTTTTTTGTCTGTCTTTTGAAGAAATTATTAATTTTATTCAGAAAGTACACATTAAATTGATCCAAAGTGACAATAAAGACAATTATGTTGTCATAAAAGATAATAAGAAATAATAATAATACATTTTTGAGCATATGACACTGAAGACTGAAATAATGATGCTGAAAATTCAGCTTTGCCATAACACAATTAAATTACATTTTAAAATATATTAAAATAGAAAGCAGTTATTTTAAATTGTAATCATATTTCACAGTTGTTTTTGTTGTTTTTTTTAAGTCAGTTCTATATTATTTAGGTTTGAAAATTACTAGTACAACCAATTTGATTATACTTAAAATTTAAAGCAGCAACTAAACTTTAAGTTGAAATATGTGGAATTTTTTACCGTGTTATTATAAAGCATGTTATACATTGGTCTGTTTTGAGTTTGTTTCAGAAACATTATTCTGCAGAAACTACAAAGCTAAAATTGCTTTTGGTTGCTGTTTAAAGTCCTTTACTGTTAAATTCTGTTGTTTCAACACCCGCTGAAGTATCGGTCACTCACTCTTGTCCCGGACTCACTTGTAAACATGTTAATTGGATGCACTTGCAGCTCTCCTGCAGAGTGAAGTGCACTTTTATGAGCACTTACACCAACACTCAGATGCTAAAAGACTCCAGGAGTGACAGAGCTCATAAAAGCCTTATGTAAGATAGATGACCATAAACCTGTACTTTGAGATATATTGAAATATACAGTGGGTACGGAAAGTATTCAGACCCCCTTAAATTTTTCACTCTTTGTTATATTGCAGCCATTTGCTAAAATCATTTAAGTTAATTTTTTTTCCTCATTAATGTACACACAGCACCCCATATTGACAGAAAAACACAGAATTGTTGACATTTTTGCAGATATATTAAAAAAGAAAAACTGAAATATAACATGGTCCTAAGTATTCAGACCCTTTCCTGTGACACTCATATATTTAACTCACGTGCTGTCCATTTCTTCTGATCATCCTTGAGATGGTTATACACCTTCATTTGAGTCCAGCTGTGCTTGATTATACTGATTGGACTTGATTAGGAAAGCCACACACCTGACTATATAAGACCTTACAGCTCACAGTGCATGTCAGAGCAAATGAGAATCATGAGGTCAAAGGAACTGCCTGAAGAGCACAGAGACAGAATTGTGGCAAGGCACAAATCTGGCCAAGGTTACAAAAAAATTTCTGCTGCACTTAAGGTTCCTAAGAGCACAGTAGCCTCCATAATCCTTAAATGGAAGACATTTGGGACGACCAGAACCCTTCCTAGAGCTGGCCGTCAGGCCAAACTGAGCTATCGGGGGAGAAGAGCCTTGGTGAGAGAGGTAAAGAAGAACCCAAAGATCACTGTGGCTGAGCTCCAGAGATGCAGTCGGGAGATGGGAGAAAGTTGTAGAAAGTCAACCATCACTGCAGCCCTCCACCAGTCGGGGCTTTATGGCAGAGTGGCCCGACGGAAGCCTCTCCTCAGTGCAAGACACATGAAAACCCGCATGGAGTTTGCTAAAAAACACCCGAAGGACTCCAAGATGGTGAGAAATAAGATTCTCTGGTCTGATGAGACCAAGATAGAACTTTTTGGCCTTAATTCTAAGCGGTATGTGTGGAGAAAACCAGGCACTGCTCATCACCTGTCCAATACAGTCCCAACAGTGAAGCATGGTGGTGGCAGCATCATGCTGTGGGGGTGTTTTTCAGCTGCAGGGACAGGACGACTGGTTGCAATCGAGGGAAAGATGAATGCGGCCAAGTACAGGGATATCCTGGACGAAAACCTTCTCCAGAGTGCTCAAGACCTCAGACTGGGCCGAAGGTTTACCTTCCAACAAGACAATGACCCTAAGCACACAGCTAAAATAACGAAGGAGTGGCTTCACAACAACTCTGTGACTGTTCTTGAATGGCCCAGCCAGAGCCCTGACTTAAACCCAATTGAGCATCTCTGGAGAGACCTAAAAATGGCTGTCCACCAACGTTTACCATCCAACCTGACAGAACTGGAGAGGATCTGCAAGGAGGAATGGCAGAGGATCCCCAAATCCAGGTGTGAAAAACTTGTTGCATCTTTCCCAAAAAGACTCATGGCTGTATTAGATCAAAAGGATGCTTCTACTAAATACTGAGCAAAGGGTCTGAATACTTAGGACCATATGATATTTCAGTTTTTCTTTTTTAATAAATCTGCAAAAATGTCAACAATTCTGTGTTTTTCTGTCAATATGGGATGCTGTGTGTACATTAATGAGGAAAAAAAATTAACAAATGATTTTAGCAAATGGCTGCAATATAACAAAGAGTGAAAAATGTAAGGGGGTCTGAATACTTTCCGTACCCACTGTATATATAATAAAATTACAATATAACATTTCTGTAATCTATATAACCTACCAGTCAACAGTTTTTGAACAGTAAGATTTTTAATGTTTTTAAAGTCTCTTCTGCTCACCAAGCCTGCATTTATTTGATCCAAAATACAGCAAAAG